CACACACACCTGCACACACCAAAAAGTATGTTGATAAAAAAAAAAACATTTTAATTAATTGCATTGTGTGGCACTGCACATGGGAATTTACGTGCCTAGGCCACACGTATAAATATTTCAATGGCTTTAATTAACCAAAAATGTAGCAATTAATTGACTTTGGTGCTCAATTTAATTAATTTTTATTTATATATTTTGAGCAAGGGCAGCAGGTACGAACCGTTCGCCTGCAGCAGCATTCAAATTAGGTATCTGGTCGTTAACCATTGTCAGCGTATTAATCAAATGTTGCGAGAAAAAAATATATACAAAAAATATCTGCTTGTTTTTAAAGTGTTTATTAATTGATGTTTTATATATAGGTAATTAGTTCACGGGCAAAGAGGTGAAAGTAAATTTGCGAAGGCGTTCATGAGAGGTAAAACATGAATTTATATAAAATTTAATTCTATATTAATTGTAATATATATTATAAAGGGAGTAATAGCCATGAGTATGATATTTGCAAAAATTGGTTTTCCAGATTGCGCCACATGAAATCCGATTTAAACATTAATGTCAAAATATTTTTTATACAATAAAGCCAATTTCATGAATATTAAAAATATATTTCTTTACATTATTATGATTTAAGCCTGTGTAACTTTAAAAAAATCCGGATCAATTCATGTTATTAAACAGTTCGTTTGATGGAAGTAAACCAAACATGTGAACTAGTTCATATGAACTCAGTATTACATTTGATGACAGATTTAAATTGATTTTATTAGTTCATATAGTAAAGTCAGCGACTGGCTTTAAAATTACCTCTGGGGCTCAGAGGTGCACAGGGTATTCGCTGTGCTCTGTGAAAGCTCTACTTGTAGACCAAAATGCCCTTTCGTCTGGTGTACAAAGGTCAGAGGGTATGCCTTCACAATGCTTTGTTAAAGCTCGGAAAAGTGTCAACCAAAAGTGCGCACATTTTTAATTGTACCGGCGACAGGTGCAAGAGCAAAGGCTCTGCTGTTCACTTGACCCACAAAGGCGAACGGACGAGCCTGGTCTAGGGCCGAGTTTGTTGCAATACAAACACACAGTCACACCTCCCACACACACACAGGTTAAAAGGTGAGCCGTTTCTTGCGGCAGCCAAAAACAAACAAGCTGGCACCTCGGCAGTGCATAAAGGTAAAGCGTACCAAGGACATTACGAGTTAATGTAAACAGCTTAATTAAAAAATAAAACTCCGCTGCGCGCGTCACGTGCTTAAAACCGCATGCGTTTTGCTACATAACCTCAAAGTGCAACCAGGTGTGTGCCTGTGCGTGTGTGTGTGTGTGTGTGAGGAGGGGGGCTGCCACGCCAGTACGCCCACGTGACTGCCACTCTTTATTTGCTTAAATGCACGAAAGTGTTTTAATTTAATTTTTCGTCTTTTTGCACGCCCACCCTCGCAGCACGGCAAGGCACGGCGCAGCGCAGCGCTTCACACTTTCCACTTTGGCGCAGCTCCTAATTAAAACGAAAGTAAATTTTCATCAAGCAACGTATAAATTATTCTTAACCAAACGAGTGCTCATTAAAAATAATTCTTAAAGGCGTTCGTTTTTTTCTTACTCTTAAATATGCACTGCGTATCATAGTTTTTGGCTGAAGTGCAGCCAAAAATTGAAAATTATTTGTTTCACAATTACTCTTGAAAGTCTCGCTAAGTCCTCGGTTCCGCCATCAGCTGCTCTTCAACTGCATGAAGCTGTTGCTATTGTTGTTGGTGTTTTTTTTCTTCACTCGAGTCAAACTTTTCTTTTAAATATTTACCATACTTACCCCATGTGCTGGAAAAGTTTTATGCACACGCACATTGTTGCCAGGGAGGGAGAAGGGAGGGAAGCTGTGAGCTCCTTGAAGTGCGCCTCATACATACGCAAGTGACTCGCACTGTATAGGGTATACACATCAATGCGGCAAGTAATTATAAAGTTTGATTGTTGCAACTTTGCTTTTAGACTTTGAAATATAGACTTCAATAGTCTCTAATTGTCGACCAAGTTTAAGGGCCCCTATTGATTTTTGTCATGAATTAAGCGGGCAGAGTCCATAGCTGCCTACTGTCATAACGAATTTAGGTCAATTTGTAAATCTATTAATTTTTTTCTATATTTTTAAAAGTGATTAAAAGTGCAATTTGAAGCACTTGCACTGCTCTTATTTAATTTATTTTCATATTTTTCAACAAAAAGCTAAATCCTTTTTGCTATGTATGTAAATTGCGTATGCCACTAGGGATTTGGGTGTGCTTAATTTTCGAATGTTTTGCAGCTTAAGCTGCTGCTTTCTTCGCATATTAAAGGGGCTTAATTTAGTTTTATGAAACGCACAAGAGAAGTGCAATTAATTGCACATATCAAAGGAGCCGAATGAGCCTTTAATCATAGTGTTGAGCGCTACTTGAAGCGTCAGACAGCTTTTCGTTCAAAGCACTTTGATTATGAGTACAGCCAGCCAATGGGGCGTATGTGGCATACACACGCACACACCTGTGTCGGACAGCCTGGACAGCCTGGACATGCAGCACTTTGCAATTCAATGGCGCAATGAGAGGCAACGTATGTCTATTTAATAGCGTCTGTGCATTGTCGATGCGACAGCATCAAATGCAGACTGGACACGAGCCCAGACAGCCCAAACAGCACTACAGCTGCAGTCAGAGCGGTGACAACGCTGTCTGCGGTGTGGCGACCACACCTGCAAATTGAGCTGCGTGAAGACCGCAACGAGTGCGGGCAAGCAGCTGGCAAAATGAAGTCATAAAGTCGGATTCTCGCTCGCTCATGCAGCAATGTGGATGATGATAATAATGATGATGATGATGATGAGCATCATTTTGCTAACTATTGGACAGCAGGTCACATTCATTTTTGGGCAACACACTTGGCTCATTTATTTTCCAGCAGCTGCTAAACTTTCTGACCATAGCTCTCTGACACTTTCCTGAAACAATTTAAAAAGTCATTGTCATCAACAGGCGCATGCTGGCAAGTTCGCGCTGCCAGTGTCCTGTTAATAATGTCTTCTGTTTGTTTTCTTCTGTTGCCCATTAAAGCGGTCAGTTTGAGTCGTATCCTGAAATATTTTCGTTTCATTGTTGGAAATGAGCAACTGTCACTTGCAACTGCAGCAACCCGCATATCAAATGTTTGCATCGACTGGGTGTTGCAGGTAGAGTATACGCCACGTAAGCTACGAGCACTGTAACGTGGGATACTTCAACTATGCCAAAGGGCTGAACCCGAAGTTCCCTTTGTAATAACTGCTAGTTATTTTCTTTAATATTCATGAAGCATTGACAAACTTGGGCTCAACTCAAATTTGTCATAGGATATAGAAAGTTCGTCAGGCCGATAGATAGATCTATCCTTACAGTTATGCCAAGTTTGGGTCCTAACCACCAAACTTGCGAGCTGATGCGAGTCCTTCTTTGTGGCTGTATTGTGTTGCGGGCGTTGCGGGTAGCGTGACATTGCAATTTTGAAAACAATTTCAAGTTTTTCGACACGCCCAACTTGTCGCCGTCGCGTCCTTTCCCTATTTTTTTTTGTATTTTTTTGGGCAAGTGCTTTCAGTTTAAGAAGTTGACAGCAAATGATGTATGATACGAAAGCGTGTGGATTGCAGCTTAGCTGTCTTGGAAGAGTTGCCTTTTTGTGTGGCAGCCGCAGAAGCCACAAAATACTTTCAATACACAATTTCTAACTACGCACAATAGAATCTTAAGTTGAGTTTTGTTGGGTTTAATTTTACCCTAAAGATAATGCAGATGGTTATCGCAGGCAGCAAGTTTACGCCCTTTCAATGTGTTTTCAGTGCTCATTAAAGTTGTTACGCTGCTTAAATTCATTATTACTTGTGTGGGTGAAGGAAAATCGTCTGCTTTCCAGCTGCTGCCTGGGGTAAATTGCTCTGTGCAAAGCCACAAAATTTATTAAGCGTAAAATTAAAAGCATAAAATTGCATGCTTTAAATTCAAATGCAGCAGCAGCTGGAGGAGCAACCACAGCCACAAAGTGTCGAAAGAAAGCATATCGCACAAAGTTCAAACAATGCAGCTAGTAGGATCTGAAGACGTGGTCCAACTAGCTAGCACACCCCTCACCCTCTGGGCGGCCCACAGCTAACGCATACTAAATTCAACTTATCGACAGGCTGGCAGTGAAACGTGTTCCGATAAGCGACACGGCTTGGCGTTGACTTCGTGTGCACCAAACTATTTTTCTCTCGCCAGCTGAAATAACTGGCGCCAGTTGATATGTAAGATATGCCGAGATATATTGACTTGACTTGCCAGCAAATTGCTTTCAAGCATAGAGAAATCTTCTAGCTATTTATATAATTGTCCCAAGTTTATGACTGATAAAAGTGATAGCTGCAATGCCAAAGTGGAATCTGGATTTCTATTAACTACACAGCTAAATTATAGTTTATATAATTTAGCTGTGGCCTAGACTACAACCCAAATATATACTTATTCATATAGCTGTAGTAGCACTATTTGTATCTGCTTTAGCCGTCTGTCTATAGTAATAAATTATGTACGAATCATTGCGAAGACAAGCAGACCAAACTAGTCAGTGGTTGTTCCTGGCTGGCGCCCACTTGGCGCTGTAGCAGCCCTTAGCTACCTTATTGAGCTAACATGTCCATCAAGCTGGCACCTGCCTTACCCGCTGCTTACCTGTCTTTTCCCCCACTGCATTTAACATTAGAAATTCATGAACTGCGTCGCCGGCTCATCAACAGCAAAACAAAGTTAGCTCAAGGGGCATGCCAGGGGCTTGGTGCAGCAACACATCTTGCACTTTACAGTTTCTTGTTATTCACTTTATTTTGTTGTTTGTTGTTGTTGTTCTTTGCTGTTTGTCGACCACTGGCGCCATCTGGCGTTTGTGCATGGAACAAGGCTCATTATCGTGCACTTCCCCACTTTGGATTACTCAAAAAAAAAATTTATTTCCATATAGTTTTGCACAGTTCATTGAAATTTTGTGCGGGTTGTCTTCTGATATGGCGGATAACTGCTTTCAACGAAACCGGAGTCACACGCGCCAACGTTGAACTCTGGATGATTGTTAAGCACTTCCAAACGCAGAATTTTGTACGTTGATATGAGCCAGTGTCCGGCATGAATAGTGCACGGTAACGAATAATCTCTTCGAAAGCGTACGAAAAATTCGGCAAATATAATGGGATTGGGTACAAATACGTGAGTTGTATCCGTATACTGAGCCACAAGCTTTTGCATTCTCTCTACTTCCTGCTTGGTGGCAAAATCGTTTGTACGTCGACAGGCCAGGAAGACCATGTCAATAAAAGCAAATTTATGATCGTAGTGCTGCAAGCGCTGTATCTTAAGAGGAATGGCGCGTAGTATATGTCGCTTGTCAAAGAGCAGCAGTTTAGTGTGATTGTCGTTAAAATTGATCAGATCATGTTTGATTTGCTTATATCCCATGGGTGTCGTGCAGCGCTTTATATGGCTCTCGTGTTGCTCCACGATGAACCTGGTGATGAGCACCAAGGCATGTTTCGCATTGTTCACAAATTTGAGTTCAGCAAATCCCCAATCCCAGAATAATTTCAGCGCCCACATATTACATTTTGTCCTTAGCATCTTCCAAGGACCGTATATATAGATCAACAAGGGCAGAGAAATCTCTCGATCTCCTTTAGCTTCGTTCCGACGTTCGAAATTGAAATGCAGCGACCACTTGCCTTTGCCTGAATGTGTTGCGCCAGAGTTACCTGAGACCTTACATCGTCGCTGGATCAAGTTCGGCCGAAACATTGAATGGGATATCGCAGGAAATAATCCATGCCGCTGAAGAAAGCCGTGGGCACAATTGATTCTGGCATATCCAAATCTCATTGGCGGCCTGAGCGACATATTTCCATGCTCTTTTAAGATTCGTTATTTTTGAATTTTCGTTACTCGTATGTCCTAAATAAAGAAAGTATGACTGAAAATCGTATCTCGAATCAATTGACGTATTTCAACAGGCCTGGTCGGATTCTTTTTGGAAGTCAATCACATAAATGGCATAATCAGGTTAACAAATTGTCGGCTTGCTGGAATTGCCCTTTGTTTGAGCTACACGCATGCATCCATACGGCTTAACAACAATGAGCTCTAATTGTGGCAACGTGTAGATAATCGATTCACCTTCTCTGTGGCCCGCCTGATTGATGCTGCCTCGTGAAGTCTCGAAGGACTTTCGTGAGCATTGATTCGTATGCAGCAATGGCAATGTACAATTATCGAACGTAATAGCAAATGGAAAACATTTCCAACGCCCATCTGCCCACCGCCAACCGCACACCAATCACCGCCCACCGTCCACCGCCCACTTTTAAGATGCGTCTATATTCATAGTTGCATTCCATGTAACAGAACCCCTTTCCGCCTGCTTTCCGTCTAATTCTGTTTACTTGAAGTATGTGTATGTGTGTGTGTGTGGGTGTGTGTGTGTTTGTGTGGGTGTGTGCTCTCTTGAGCTCTAACTAACTGAATACAAACAATGGCAAACGAGTAGCAGACAGACACGCCCACTTGCCACCGCCCGAAGACATGTTTACAAACTTATTTCATTTGGGTTAATTGCTTCGCAATTGCCCTCAAATTTGCATACGACCTACGTAATTCTGTCTAATGTCGATTTCAATTATTGCACAACTTTCAATGGAATATGCTAAGAAGATATACTATTAAATAAGCACAAGGATGCACATGCCGGCTACATGCTTCAAATGTTGGATGCTGTAGTTCCCAGCTAAGTTAATAAAGCGGAACAATGGACAAACTATAGAAGTCGAATTGCTTTGGGGAAGCATAAAACATTTGTCAATACATTCGTAGCACATCCTCAGGTTTAGCAAGCACTTAAATTTTCATTAAATTTTCAATAAACTTCCCTTTATATCGCAGCTAAAAAAGAACTGGCATTGTCTGGCCATAAATGTTTACTGTCATGTTTGAATCTAATACAATTTATCACATAAATTGCAAACAGTAAAACTATGCCCAAAATGTACTTAGAGAAGCACAGACATACATAAATGCATAAACCAAAAGAAGGATATACAATGCAGCTCCTGCTCCAAAAATGAAAATATTTTGCTGAAATCACAGTGCCATACAAATCCCCATATAATCTCCCCCTAGAGCGAAACAGCCATCATAGAGCAGCTAAAGTATCGCAATAAAATATGTTAAGTAAATACGGAAAAGCAGATGGGACAACGAGCAGAAGAGATATAGACAGCCAGACAAGGAGAGAGCGAGCGAGCAAGAGAGAGCGGGAGGAAGGGAGTGAGAGAGAGGGAAAACACAGACTAAACAATAAGCCAAAAAGTACGCTTGATTAAGTTTAACTTCCGGTTTGTTATAAATTGAGCATTTATGTGGGATTTGTTTGCGAAAACAGTTTCTACTTTGTTGGGCAAAACAAATGTTTACCAGTCGAGCCCATCGAGCTGCCAGAAACTAAAGGCATATTGTTGGCCACCTAATACGCTCTGTGAGCGCACACGCTCATATGTCTATTTCCGGCGGAAGTGGTGAATAAAACATGAAACGAAATAAAATCAAAAGGCAACAACAGTTACTGCCAGCTGCCAGCTGCCGGCTGCCAGCTGTCGACTGCCGGGCTGTCGGGCTGCCAGGCTGCTAAGTAGACGAGTAGCTGGAAAGCGGCGCAAACCATATTCAGTGGCCAAAAGTGAACTTCCGTTTGACTTTGCTGTCCGTTCTATAAGTCTTTCATTGTCTAAAATAAACCCGAGCGTTCAATCGAAATGGACAAAAAATTAAATTGCAAAATATATCTCGTCTGCATAGTTGTTATCACTTTTTTGCAGCCTCCCAGTGCCCAGTGCCCAGTGCCCAGAGCCGCTCTGACAGCTGCCAAGCGGGCAGGGCATTTAATATCCGCAAATGAAGATACTCAATTTCCCTATGACAAAACTAGGAAATAGGCAACAGACAACAGGCGCACCTGCCCCTGCCGCAAGATACAATAGCCAGATACAGTTACCATTTAATGGCCATGCACTCAAGCTCTTAGCCAAGAACTCGGCTAGCAAGCTTCAAGCAAAGATATTATCGTAAACATATGTATGTATAAGAAATATGCAACAAATTTCCATCATCAACACAATTCATGTATACAAATACGTTCAATAAAATGTAAATAGTTTTAGTTTAGAGCTCAGTTTATTTGTACATTCAGGCTGCATTTTAACAAGTTTATTTATGAAATTTAAAAAAAAAACAGGTAAACGAAGAGAGTTAGTTAGGCTGCTTCCCAATCATATATATTTTATATCAAATCAAAACCGACTTTACTTAGCATTGTTAGCACATCCGCCTTGAAATCCATATAATCTTTACTTGCAGGTCAGAAGCCGCTGGGCAATGTTAACCAACGAGGAAGTAAAGCACTTGGATTTGCTAAAAGCCGAGAGCTATTTATGCATCTGAATAAACTTTGGGGCTTTGTTGCTGAATTACATTTAATTTGGAAAGTGCATAGAAGTTTATGGCTTTGCTAATCGCTATTTATATTAACAATCTGGCCAACCGCAAATTATTCCGAATAGCTTTCCTCTGCGAGAATTGGGCAAGTAATCCGCACCAAGGATGAAGCTCTCAGCAGGACAATATGCAAATGCCGTTTAGCAAATATTTATTATTTTGTGTGTGCTCAGGCTATGAAAATGCGGACTATTGTTGCTGCTGCTAGTGATTTGCTGATGTTACCGAAGTCTTTAACGTTGCCGGGAATAACAGCAGTTGTAGGAGCAACACTGTCCATTGCAGTTCGGTAATCCTGGATAGTTCATGTAGTTGTTGCAACCACGCATGTTGCGCATTCGCCAATAGGAGGAACAGCAATATCCGTAAGCATTCGTGCATTGCGGTCGGAAACAGTTGGGGTTGTTGGGTTGTTGGGTTGGGGTTGTTGGGTTGTTGGGGTAGGGATATTCGTCTTCCTCGCTTTCTTCGGTTTCGGCATCTTCTATTGGGAATTCATCAGCTTCGGGCTTGTGTTCCACTATTTCCGTATCGGACGTGGAGTCAATATTTATCATTTTAATGAGATTTCCTTCTGCATCGGATTTTTCTTCATCAGTTTCTTTATAGACGTGAGTTTTTATCTTTGTTTGCCCCGAATTATACACCGATTCTTTGCTTTCCTCTGTTGGCTTTAAGTCGAGCTTATTTTGAACGAAGTCTTCCGATTCGCTAAGGAGATCTTTCGTGCCTACTGCACTTTGACGCATCGCAGCTTCCTGTTCATAGGTCGAAGATTTAGTTACGATGCCAGTAAAGGAAACAACTGATTCAACTGCGTTAAATAACTTTTGTGGACCATTTGCTTCATCGACTGTTAAATCTTCATTGGAAGTAGCATAAGATTGGTCTCTTGTAGATGAGTTTTCTGCTTTGCTATCAATTGCTGGCTCGTTCTTGGAAGAAACTTGGGATTGGCGGCCTAGCGCAGATTTTTTTGAAGGTCTCTCCTCACTTAATTTCGAGTCCCTATTTTGCGTGGTTCTTAAATCTGATCTACGTGGAACAGTCGCCACGCCTTCAGTAAGTTTTTCGTCTTCTATTGTACTCAATTCCGAGTTGTGTTTATTACTTCTTATGAGATTTTTTGATACGCGTAAAGTTTGCAATTGTTGATCACTTTTATTTGGAGTCATTTGCTTAAGTCCCTCTACCATTTCATGTTCACTTGACTCTTGACTTTTACGGTTACTTGGACGCTGTACGGTGCTCTCAGCTCTGTTTTGGCGTTTGTTATGAAAACTTTCCACTTTTCCTCCTCCACTTCTTTGCTCCTTTACCGCAATCTTTAAAGTATGTGGTGCTTCTTGACCTCCTGCAGGTGGAGGTCTTAAGATGTATCCCAATTTGGTGCTCCCACGTGGAATATTTGAAGATCGAGAAGCTCGACGTGAATTGCGTGGTTGTGTCGATGAAACAAATTCAAGTTGGCGTCTTCTGGTTTCTTTTCCCCGGCCCTTAGACTGAGTCACAGATTCTGTTTTCTTGTAGGTTCTGCCACCAACGCTGTTTTCTACATAATCTATATTTTTCGTCGAAACTTGCGTATTGTCTGCATTAATAGTGCGTTTGTTAACATACTGATGTGTTTTGATATCTTCAACGTTATTCAAATGATTATATTTGATATCAGACACTACTTTCTTGTATACCGTTTCCGTCGAACCAGAGGGCTTTATGACTTCATATTCAATATATTCCTTCTCTTGGACTTGACGTACAACATCTGGAAACTGAGTCATCTTATCTTCGGCAATCTTATCCATGGTTTGACTACTCTTAGCTCTCATCATAGGCCATTTGCGTCGCTTATTAACCACTACGCGCTGACTCAAGCACTTTTGATCGTCGTTCTTTGAATTTATAATTGGATTGGAATCACAACACCTAACCGAATTGACTGCCTTATATACCAATGGCTTGCATACTTGGGTAAATCTCTCTGTTTTCTCGTCCATGCAGCACTTCCCATACATCTTTGCCCGAATGGGTAACGGCATTTTGATGGTAGACAATCAACAGGATCAATAAATTTTGGAACACAATTCACACTTCGAATTTTATGACCAGGACAAAAATTCCGACCATGGGAACCAAATTGAAATTTAACTCAAAGCATTTCGTTGTCAGGGCTTAACTAGCTTTGAAAATAAAGTTTCTCTTCCAGTAGTCCGTGTTTAGTACATACGGGCAAAATATTTATTTTGTATAATAAAACTTATTAGAAGAAATATACTAAAAAATTGGCCGTTCGCAAAATTATGTGTATCTACTTCATACAAGATGGGCCACTTAAATGTTCAAAAGAAGTTGGAGGAATTCCAAAAGAAGCTCGATGTACCCAAATGGTATTTGGGCTTATCAGAGTATCAGGAGCGAACCGTCTTGGAGCTATGCAACGATCTACGCGATGACTTCGAGCAAGGCACTAGCTTTCGCGTGGAGAAAAGCTTAATGCGTCTGGGCCTAAGTCCGCTCATCACCAAGAAAAAGATCCGCACTATGGTGGTATTGAGTCGAGGTAACGACTTAGCTTTTCTTTTCTTTATACTCGAGGGCTACTATATGAGTTGTCGTAAGAATGGCGAGTTCACCACCAACGAGAGGCTGCTATTGATGGCAATGAGCAAAATCGATCTGCTGCCAACCCTTCGTGAGTTAGATCGCATTTTGCCACCGCCGCAGTTGAGTGATTTGGATTTGAAGCGTCAGCATCGCAGCTACAATACGCCGAGACCGTCCAAGGCCCTGGTGGCAGATGGACGCCCAAAGAAAAAGAGTGAAAAGTCACCCAAAACTCCTTACTTCCAACGTCAGCCGAGGCCCAAGGAGATCGTTGTTAAGTACACAAGTAAGCCACCCAATTTGATTGCAACCTTCCCGTTCTGGCGTTTGGATCAGCCACCGAATTATGGTAGAAATACCGAGCCACCGTGGTTCGCCGAATACAACTTGAATCCTGTGGGTCGACTGGTTAAAACTACTGTGGGTGAAGCGGTTGACAAGTATTTCAATCAACTCAATCACATTAAATATCTCGAGCGCAAGGCCAGGTTTAGCCGCAGGGCTGCCGCCGCATTAGAAAGAGCTCTAAGTACCGATATAGATGAGCCGCAGATGTGCACTTATCACAAATTTGCACTTGACCAAACGCAGCTACTCAAAGACGAAATGACGGTGATGGCTCGAAATCGTTGTCTAGAATTGATGGATGTGACCCTGCCCTACCGCAAGATGCGAGAAAAGCGTATTGTAGCCCAGCTTGAACATGACATTGACGATTGCATGAAGCGATACGCGCTGAAGCTTGAGAGCACAACGGTGCACACGATAGCAAAGAATGACTGCGTGCTGTGCCAGGAGCAACGTGTTGATTTTCCCGTAGCTAAGCCCCATGATCAAAAAGGCCGTGCCTTAATTGGGGAGAACCTGCATTTAGCACACACTGAAGCAACTGAGATGTGTGTTGGCAAGCGGCTGACAGGCGGTGGCTTGCGCAAAGAGTCAATCGATTTTGAAGCTGAAACGGAGCCATGTCCAAAATCTGGTATCAACGTAAATTGGATACCTGAAAATGAGCCGCCATCGTGCTTTGCGCCAAAGGGCAAGAGCCAGCAGCGCATATCCTTCATGGTGGATGATAGCAAATTAAAGAGGCTGAGAAAGAATCGGAAGGAGTCCTCCGTGGAAGTACGCTTTCAGGGCAAACAGACCAAGAAGTCATTTTTCGTGGCACCCTCCGATCACAAGCCCTACCAATTCAAGTACAAGCGCATATTCCAGTCTGGGCAAGAAAAGCCGCGAGACATCAAGAAGGTGATCGCCAAGGCCTTCGTGCATGCCCTAGATTGGGGCGATGAAAGTCCTGCTCCCATATGCCATAAGCCATCCGTCACATCCGACGAAGATGCGGAAAATCTAGAGATGGAGATCAACAGCGTCCGTTTAACAGACAGCTGCGCCTCCATAGGTGACACCAGTGAACACAGCAATCGCAGCCATGAGAACTACAGGGCCGATATTGTTGACGCTGTGGTGCGCTGCGCCAAGGATATTTGGTTGAAGGGTGTCAATGTAAAACGCGCCGAAATGAAAGCTCAGGAGGAAATGGAGAAAAGTAGGACATCGGATCAAGCGGAGCTTAAATATAATATCAAGAAATTCGATCCAGATGACGCGCAGCTCATGAATCGTATGCTTCAGGATGGGCTGGATCTGCTGCAAAAAAATCAACGCTACGTCCTGGCCTCCCTTCCCGATGCTTACAAGCTGCCCGTCCTCCAAGAATGGATAAAACGACGCTATGGCAAGCAATATACCGAAGAGGAGATCCAGAAGAACATACAAGAGTCGGTGAAAATATTTGAGCTGATTACCATGCTGCAATCCAGCCCGCCACAGGCAGACTTAATGGGCATGGACAAGCTTCCGAAGAGCAAGGAGACCTTTGCCTTCCGCAATCAAGCCAAGGCCCTGGTAAGTAAATGCAATGAGTCGTCGCTCTTGCGAAGCCCCCGCTCATCCTTCTAATCCGTTTGCAGGCCGCAAAGGTGCGATTGAAGTACTACAACCAACTGAACGATTTGTACATGACCCACATGGGTGCCTGCTGGTATGCCATGGGCAATTACTTGTGCCGTGGCGGACCGCCAAGGCAAACCTTCTATGCATACATGTCGTCCAATACTCGGGATATCATGCGCAACAAGGTGTGGAACGGCGAGTATAGGAACATACGGCGCTTCCGCGATCATTACAAGGAAACCCATAACACCTAGACACTTTAATTCTCAGACATTTATTAACAATATGGTTAACAATCAATATTAAATTAGTAGTTTTTCTTTACGCGAGAGACCCGCTTGCCGGTTATACCCCTGCTGGCCATGTAGGCCAAGATGGAGCGTTTTGTGTTCGTCTTGAGGTTGCGCACGTCGAACTCGATTTCCTTGTTGGCATACCCAAAATTCATGCCCTCCATTTGGCGTATCATGTGTATGACGTTCAACAGCATGACGCCATCCAACTGCTGCACTCTTATATGCAATTCCAGGTCCTCTTCGGTGGACATTGGCAGCTCGTGCTCCTCCTTCCACTCGTTGAACACGTCCTCCTGGCGCAGCTGTGTATTGAACGTGGTATAAGCCACGCTGCTGTCCTTGGACTGAGTTGACGAGCTGCTGCATCCGTCATGATCGTCACTGTCCTGCTCCGAAGAGGAGTCCGACCAACGGCAGCTGTCATTCGAGCTATTGTGCAGCGGCACCTTAGCATACATATCCTCAAAAATTAGCTGCAGTTTCTTGGCCATGTCATAGCACAAATGACCGGGACACGTATACACGTAGGCATTGTAAAATATTAGGCGTACATCGCGTGCAAAGTCAGCGGCATTTGCATAGAAGTTCGAGTTGAGGCGATACTTGACGGTCGACAAATCCATGGGCTCCTTCACGATCTGATGATAGTCGTACAAAGCCAGCAAATCGGCATCAACGGGCTCGTAGAATATCCAGGCCAGGCCCTTGTATTTCTTGGAGAACATGTTTCTGATTATGGCCTTGCAGGCGCTGATCTCCGGTGTCGGCTTGTTCCGGTTAGCTAAGGCCAGCATGCTGCAAAAATCAGATATTATAAATCAATAATTTCTGTGACTAACTCAAAATTCGGAGTCTATCGAATTTTGTCGTTTGACGTAAAGCGCCTACGGTTCATTTGATGCGCGTGAACTTGTTCAGTTCAGCTGACTCACGTAATTAGCACGAAAGAACTAGGTTAATATTCTTCTGGTTGATCATTTTATATTTACTAAATAGGGATATATATATATGTATATATATATATGAACATATCAATGTATAACTAAACACTTGTTTTTCGATTATATAGCAGGAGGCACGGTGAATATATTGAATCTGCAAATTTTGTATACGGAGACCAGCCAACGGTTTGTGTGGTTTTGCAACTCTGCTCCAGAAATTTGTTCAGCATTCGAATAGTTTCGCCTGAATCGCATAAAAAGTTCAACGAAAACATAGGGCAATTGGCAACCGGGATCTTCTAGCTGTGGCTTTAGCTCCGGCTCCATTTCAATAAGCGCATTTTTCATTATCTCAAGATCCGAACTCGTCTCGCAGTCGGCCACATGACGCAATCCAACAAAAACAACATCGATGAGTGCATACCGCAGTCCCAGTATATCATGCAGATGCACATTGATGGGAACTGCCTGACGTATGTCCTGCTTGCGGAATCGCAACAATTGCGAAAAGGATTTGTGTGGAAAGTTAACGGATTCGGTAGCCATTTGATAGTACACGTTTGAGGTCGAAAACTTGTCAATATTTTTCATATCACGCATACGTATTATATCGGTCAGCGAGACAGCTGCCTTCTTGGACTCCTCCACAAAGTCGCGCTCCTTAAAGCTGCGATCCCACGTCCATCTGAGCTTCCACATACGCAGCTTACTCATGTAGTACTTGAACGGGCTGTACTTGAAGACAATCTGGGGTACAACCACTTTGCTATTCACCATTACCTTAAACGGCTCCGGTCTGGGGGGCAATATAAAGTGCCTCTGCTGAAGGTGGTAAGCATTCAACGTTTCACACGTCACAGCGACATTTCGCTCCACTCCAGACCAATTACGCAACAATTTCGTACACATTTCGTCCTCAAAGTTTATTTCAATCGATTTCGAAATTAAATTTTGAATTGACAATGTAAATATGAGCTAACCTACTTCGTTAAAAGGACAGAGACGTAACTAGTTCTGTTAAATACGGCTAACGTAACAACACCAAAATTTATTTGCGATTGAAATAGTAATGTTAGAGTTGTTCAACTGATCCAAATCACACCGCATACATACAAACTTTGCTTAAATTCCCGGGGTCTGGCTTCGAAGAACGAAGTCCATTTTTTTCGGGTTCATAAAACTCGTTTACAACAGCCCTCACCATTTGTTCAAGCGTGCACGTTAACTCACTCCACATTTTATTCTCCGGCTGTCCACAAATTTCGGCATAATACGTTATCATGGGCTCAGTTTTACTAGCACGCAGTGTTATCACAAATCCATTACTGAATGTAAACGTTATCATTTCGTTAGCTTTACTTGACGGTAGATCCGCTTGTTTATCGTTTTCGCCACTGTCATAGCCAGTTTTCAGATCTCGCACACTTACGATCTGAAATTCACCGTCCATGATGCTCGTTGGATATGTATTCTTCTGGCCATTGTCGAATGTGCGCAGACGATGGAAGATTTGATTAACAGTCCGCCGATTATGAAACAAGTGTTGGGACACTTTGCTTGTGTGATATCCATAATTGTTGTATATTTCGTTCAATTTATCCTGCAATTTTATGTTCCTTTCTGATCGCAGATAGGATGCCATTGAGGCCAAGTGAGCCGCGGCACTTATACCATCCCTATCGAGCACTTTTGCGGATAGCATAAAGCCAAACAATTCATCGAATGCGAAGAGCACATCTCTTCCGTTGTTTTGCTCTTCAGCCACCTTGTTGCCGATCCAGTTGAAGCCGCTGAGGGTCTCAAGAAACGTGAACCCCTCGACTTCCGCCATCGACTTCAATATTTTTGAGCTAACATTGCTGGCGATCATCACGCAATTGGATACATCTGGATCTTCCTCGCGCATCACATAAGTCTCTAACGCCCACCAGCCGAAGAGGGCACCCAGCTCGTTGAAATTAAAGACCTTATATTTTCTTCTGACTACTTCGGCCGCAGCAAAACAACCGGCATCCGGATCGTTGGCCAAGATGATGTCGGCTTTCTTGAGCGTTGCCTGTCGCTCAGCCGAGGCCACTGAAACTCGCAGCACAGGTGTGCTTGGGAATTCTGGATCGGGACTGACTTGATTTGCCAGAGGTATAACTGGTCCGAAGTCATTGGTGCTAAAGGCCAATTTAACAAATGGATAGCCGACGCCATTCATCGCCGTGTAAATGTGATCCAAGGGATATTTTTGAGGGACCTCTAGAAACGGAGTGATTAGCTGCGACTTCAGCGACTGAAAATAAGCCACTAGAATTTCTTCAAACGGATTACTCAACAAGTCATTGGAACACAAAACATGCTGATTCCATGAATCTTTCTTAGGTTTCAAATTCTTTAGAATACAGCGCTGAATACCCGTAGTGTGAGGTGTTGTGATTTGTGCTCCGTTTGTCCAATAAACCTGCAGGCCAGAGAAGGACCAAAATAAGTAACAATATCCAACTAAAGGCGACACATGGAGACATACTTTATATCCGTTAAAATTCTTGGGGTAATGGGACCCTGTGACCATTATGCCTGCCAAACAGCCGAGCTCCGAAATTGTGAATGGCACAAAGGGTGTGGGAACAAAATTCCCAAATAGATATACGCGAAATTTGTTGTTCAAAAACACAATCGACGACAATTGTGCAAAGAGTTGACTATTGTAGCGAGCATCGTATCCAATAACAATACCTTTCTCCGACCAGATGCTTTCATCGGGATATTCCTGCTTTAGGTAAGCACAGATTCCTTGAGCGGTCCTTCAAAGTACAAATTGATTCTTTCGCTAAATTCTATTGCCAAGAACTATGTGGGTAAACTTACTGTATGACAACCAGCTCGTTCATAGCATTGAAACCAGCTCGCATGGGGGCTCGTAAGCCCTCAACACCAAATTTCATGCGATTGCCCATGCAATGCTGAAGCCTGGATGTATATAAAGTGAGGACTATTAATGATTTTCTACTTTTAACTTCAAAACTTACGTTTCCCAATCTTCTTGCTTGATGGCTCCAATGATTTGAGCTTTGGTTTGTGGGTTTTTATCCCATTCCATCCAATTACTGATTCGAGCATCTAGCACTCTATCGCCAGAATTACAGTAGAGACTTGTAGTACCGCTCGGCCTTCGGCCAATCGTTTGGAACTTTGGAGTCGGTATCTGCAGAAGTTGCTTACAAATTATATCTTGCAAGTGTTTCTTGCCTACAACAGCTGAAAGTAATCTTTGTTTCTGCTGCATCTCACACTGCCTGGCGCTAACTATGGGTTTGGTCAAGAGTCGAGACCAATTGGATGAGAATTTCGAAGAAAATCTCTCGGTAAGCGCGTCAAAGAAGAAACCCATTTTCTAACATTACAAAATTAGATATTATTTCAAAAATTAAACCTTTAACAATTTTGACATGTATTGATGAGATCTTTCAGTGATGAATAAACTATAAATTTCATAATCAAGGAAAACACAAAACGAAACCAAAAGCACAGCCAATTCAACTTTAATTCACTAATATAACAGCCACATCATAACAGTATGTTATATACATTAACATAAATGTTAAGATTAACATTCATTTGGATTGTTTTAACTGCAACCCGCCTGAACTGGCGCTGACATTTCTTTACCTTCAGCCGCTAATTAGTTTATAACAAAAGACGGGATTTATTATTATTTTATATATTTTACCGTACCAAGAAGCCCTTGGTTATTCTGAAATTTTTATTTAATTTTTTTTTACCTATCTAATTATCAAATATCTGTTTTCATATTCGTATCAGGTTTGGCTCGTAGTCATGTCGAATTTTTAATTCAAGTCTGGTAATTTTGAAGAAAACTAAAAATTTTGGGGCCTATGAACATTTACAAAAACCGTTTTCATTTCAATTTTATTCTTCCTAGCACAACTTCAGCCCATTCTTTTCGAGCTCGATGAACTCGTTTAGAATGCCTTCCATCATTTTGTTAAGCGTTGATGACAGCTCATCCCAACGCTTGTTCTCCGGCTTGCCACTTACATTGGCATAGTATTTAATCTTGGGCTCAGTTCCGCTTGTACGCAATGTGAGTTCCACTCCATTTTTGAATGTAAACGTTATCATCTGAGAAGATTCACTGACTGGCAGCGTTGGTTTCTTATCTCCGGTACTACTGTCATAGCCAGTAGTGAGGTCCCGCACATTCTCCACCTCGTATTCCCCTTCCAAGATGGACGTGGGATATGTATTCTGTTGACCTTCGTCGAAGGTGCGCAGGCGCTCAAAGATCTTGTTGGTAAGACCGCTATCTGCGCACTTTATAGAGGAGGCAACACTAGCATGGAAGCCATACGTCTCATATAGGTCTCGTAATTTCTCTTGCATTGTCATGCACTTTTTGCAGCGCAAATAGCAGGCCATCGTGGCCACGTGCGCTGCAGCACGGATACCGTCCTTATCCAACACGCTTGTGGAGATCATATAGCCAATGGCTTCCTCGAATCCGAAGAGAACCTTTTTCCCAGCATTCTGTTCATCGAGTGCTTTGTTGGCTATCCACTTAAATCCTGTCAGGGTTTCGTGGTGTGTGAATCCCTCTGCTTCTGCCATTGCTTTCAAAATCTTCGAGCTAACAGTGCTGGATACCATTACACAGTTGGGTACGTCTGGATTATCCTCGGTCATTTTATAGTTCTCTAATGTCCACCAGCCCAGAAGGGCGCCCATTTCGTTGCCGGTGAATATCCTATACTTCTTACTATCATCGAGCTCGGCGACAACCAATCGATCTGCATCTGGATCGTTAGCTAAGACGACTTGCGCCTTCTTTTCGGCTGCTCGTTCTAGAGCCAATTCCAAAACCTTGCAGTCTTCTGGATTGGGCGAAGGCGCCGTGGGAAATTCCGGGTCGGGCACAATCTGCTTCACAACGGGTATAACGGGTTTTAGGTTAATCTTACTGAAAGCCAATTTAACAAATGGATAGCCAACGCCATGAATAGGAGTATAGGTAAAGCTTAATGGGCACCTGCCATTCGACTCCATGAGTGGGCACGATATCTCCTTTTTAAGAGCATCGTAATAGGGGGGCAAAACATTGTTATATGGATCTGATAACATGTCATTGCCGCACAGCAGTGTCTCATCCCACGAATCTGGATTTGGCTGCAAATTGTCCAGAATGGCTTGTTTAATGCCTTCGTCGTGTGGGGGTATAATTTGGGCCCCATTAGTCCAATAAACCTGCGAACACGAATCGCGACAACATGACATAATTAAAAGATATAACCGAATAATATGAACCTACCTTATAGCCGTTCTCCTGCTTGGGATTGTGAGACGCAGTTATCATCACACCGGCTAAACTATTCATCCTTACCACGGTGTAAGGAACGAAGGGAGTGGCAACCATACGCTTGAACTGATAAACCCGAAAGTTCTGGCTCAAGAAGACGATGGTTGTTAGTTCGGCAAATCGTTGACTATTGTAACGACCATCAAACCCAACTACGATGCCACGATCGGCCCAATCAGCTTCTTCTGGATATTGTTCTTTTAAGTAAGCGCAAAGTCCTTGACTAGTCCTATTGAGGGAGAACCATATATATATATATATAATATCGTTAGCTTTTCATACTGTCCTATCGACAAGAGCGATGCTTACTGCACGATAACTAATTCGTTCATTGAATCGAAGCCCGCCCGCATTACGGCTCTTAAGCCAGCAGTTCCGAAATCTATACGTCTGCAGAGACGGCACCGTAGCCTGTGTGTGAGGACGTTATTTAAACTGAAGCGAATGGCCCAGTAAATGTGGCGCTTACGTGTCCCAATCCTCGTTGCGGACTGCCTCCATTATCTGACACAATGTTTCTTGGTTGCGATCCCATTTAACCCACTTCTTAATTTGGCTGTCGAGCTCCTTATCTCCCGATAACGGAGTATGCTTCAGCTCGCAAATGGCTTGGCCCATTGATTGACACATTGTGTACAGGCGAAGAATTTAGAAATTAAATAGAGAAAAGAAAATTTTATTATCGTACAAAACAGTTTGACAATAAATAAAAACTAAAGCAAGACCATATTTCCGATTGTGATTGGAAGCACACTTGATTTGGATTTGAAAATAAATTCCATGTGTAGTATGTGGCCAGCATAAAAATTGAAAAATAAAATTTATAAACGAAAACATTAAATCATCAGAAAAATGTAATACATTCGACTTCTATTACATCTGCCGAGTTCAACTCACTTGATTTCCTGCACAATTAGCGAGCTCTGCGCTCATTCCTTTTGCTACAGTCGGCATTGTTCCATAAAGACAAGGACAAACTGCCCGAGGACATGCTTCTACACACATGTCCTCGACGATAACTCTACTCGACTAATTAAATATGTTTGTATTTGGCAAACATATTTTCCAAATAGTTAATTATTCAAATGGCCACGCAAAAACAACGCACAAAAAATTATATTTCCTCATAATGAACAAGCATAAAACCGCACTAATTGTGACTCATAATTAGAGACATGTTAATTGCCGAGCGAAAAAGGAAAGAAGTAGAAATGAATAAACGAGGATACAAAAAGAAAATTAAAGAGATAGTGGACTGGACGACTGTACGACAGTTGTAATCCAGATTCGCACTGTGGAAGTTGAAAAGTTTGGTCAGCAAAGTTAGCGCTGGTCAGCAAAGAACTTGGCCACAGATTGAATTAGTTAATCTAATTTAAGTATAATGTAAACAGGCCACTTTCTTATGAAGGGTCCCAAATCGAAATAAGAAAGCACACAACTGCCCAACAACCGTCAAACTTTGGTCAGCCACTAATGTCAACTTTTCAGACCAAGCCAGGGCAGGCGGGGGACAAACATATTCGGGCTAAACTAACCTAACCATACACTCGGCTATTCCGCCCGACCGCCACTCATCCACTCAGCCATTCATCCAGTTTAAAGTCATCCAGCCCAGCGGTTAGCATAAATTTTGCTTTGCAAATATTTCATTTGCATATTTTCGTTACGTTGTTTTGCTGTTTGCTTTTGTTACTTTACGTTGCGATCTTCTCGTTTTGTAAACAGCTCCCGAGGCCGAAATTTTCCAAGAAGAAAACAGACAAAAGCAATTCTCATATGCATCGATTTCAATATGTCTAAATGTTTTTATTTAATTTATACCATTTCGTGAGCTTTTGGCTTTGTTTTTTGGTAGTAACAAGGGCCACTCGCAGCTGCCTTAGGCAAGGCAGTTAAGTCCTGAATTGGTTTATCTTTGATTGCTCATCTTATTGGAAGACTTTTGACCCGTTTGTATCTATTATTTGGCTAATAATCAAAATACAAACAGTGAAAGGATAGATCGCATCACGCATCACGGCATATATAATATATGTCTTATATGACGCATGTTAAATTGTCGCTTTGAATTACATTTAGAGCATATTTTTAGTTATACTCTGAAGTAATTGCATTTGCGTATGATAATTATTTTCCTGCCTTCTGTTATGCCGCAGTCAACAAGTAACTGTTAAAGTGTGTGAAAGACGAGAATGTTAAAATATCCCCAATAGCGCTGTTAACTTGACATCCACATCTCTCTCTTTAGCTCTCCCACTCTCTCTTGCTGTTAACTCAAGAGCCACAACTCTCACACACTGTTACTGTTATTATTGCAGCTGCTGTTAAAATAGGGACTTCTCAAGACGGGGTTATTGGCAACAATTTAGCGACTTTAGTTCTCAACAAGCCTTTGGGTAAGTTGGTAGCGTGTTGGGAGCTGAATGCCAGACTACAGCATTGCTTAGATCTGTTCTCACAATAAAAGACGTGACTGTAACCCAGTCGGGCAGACTGAGCGCAGCTATTGAAGCGACCTTTGACATGCATTTAAATGCATCGTTTATTAATATAATCGACGCGATATGCAAACTACAAGTTACACATACGCCTTTGACTTGGCAATTTGACAATCTGACTTGCAGACAACTCCCATTCGTTGCATGCCTCGTTTCTCACTGGAAATTATGCATGCACTGGCAACTGGGAACCAAACCAACAATTAGAGCTACGCAGAGGCCGCCTCGATGTGGCTAAGTGGACTGGGAATCAAAGCGCGCGGAGCAAGTGCTCCGTCTTGGAGGCTGTGCTTGCCGCTCTTGCAGCAATCGCAACGAGCTGCAATATTATTTTTATATGCCTCTTCGATTTTGCTTGTGTTTTTTTATGACCGACTTTTTGCTTCGTTTTTATTTTCCTCTTTCCCTCGCTACTCTTATCTGCATCTTTTGACATGATATTCCTTTTAATAATGCCGATTCATTGACAACTCTTCTCTTGGCCAGCGCTGCCTGGGGGTCTGGCAATAAACCAGTTATCTGCTGTTTGTAAAGGCTTCAAATAACTAATGTATAGTTTATTTTTGAGAGACACTCTTTCAAATTATAATTAAATTGAAGCCCTTGATCTGCATTTGCCAGTTTAAGCACAAGTAAGAGCTGTTGACAAAGGGGAATTACGCACGTCGCCACGGGTGGTTGACAAAAGGCTAAACAATCTATATGGAGAACTCAATGTTAAATACGCTCCCTTGGCGGTTGCCACTCTCAGCACCTATGGCAAGGTAAACAAAAACGTGTGAAGCTCTGGAGCTCGCACTCCATTGCCATTACCACTGCCAATATACAATATATTGTATATGTACATATATATAGATATATATAGAGCCTGTATTTGTAAGTGAAAAAGAAGAAAAAATTCGCCAAGCAATACTAAATCACAAAAAGCGGCAATATAAAAGCCGAACAAAAAGCAGCATCCCCCAGAGTGCGTACATGTGAAATATGCGAGGCGGCACCAAAGGGGCTGGGAGGCGGCTTGGGTCTGACAGTCCCGACAGACGCACTGACAGACAGGCAGACAGACAGGCAGACAGACAGACAGACAGACAGACAGGCAGGCAGACAGACGGACAGACAGTCGCATGTCAAACATTCTTTTGACACTTTGTCATAACATCTCGCAGTGACACTTGTCAGCAGTCGGATTTCACATTCGCAATTCGCTCGCTCGCTCGCATTTGGGATTGGTCCGTCCTTCGCTCCGCACACCTCACACCGCTGCAATCTTGATTTATCGCCCGTAAGCAAGTGGATATCCACACATCCGCAATTCACATTTTACTTATGCATCTTTTTAGCAATTTTCAATTTTTCTAATGATATTTGTTGCTATTCCAGACCCAAGTGAGACGCAGGCAGCCCTTGGCTTGAATGTCAGTTGAAAGAGAAATGAATAACTTATTGAATTTATAAGTTTCTCTGCGTTAAATAGCCCTTAAATTAGTACCAATGCAGCTAGGCCTCAGTGTTCATTCAGTGGAGTCTACTGTAATCAGTACAAATATTATAACTTAACTACTCAAAGCTAAACTGAATGATTAAACTTCCACGAAAGTTGCTACAATTTTGCGGGGCCTAACACAATTAGCGCTGGCGGGCAGGCTGAGGGCGCGGTTTTCTAGTTAACTGGCACGCTGACGGCCATTTATCAGGGGCATCTAATCTAATCCTTTTACTGGTCAAATAAATTAAAATGAAAAGCCTTTTTCGGCTGCGGCCGCCACTAAATTACGCCAAAGATAATTAACCTGTAGACTGTTTACGGCAGACAGAGAGCTGGCGAGCATGTATCTATGTATACACATACATATACACATACATATGCATGTATATATTGTAGCAGTATCTGAGGCAAGGACTCTTTATTAGGCCTTCGACCCTTGGAGCGGAAGCGCAAATGGGCGCATTGAAGCTGTGTAAGCGAGACGCTTTCGAGTAGCGCTGCGAAATTACAAAATGGCGCAAATTATAGCGCAGCAGACGAAGGACTATAGCGCCGACGACGGCGGCGTTGGCCATTTCCGTTCGAAGGCATTTTTCCAAATGAAGTTTGCAAGTAATCATGAAAAAGGTAATTTAATAAAAGCAAAATCGAGAAACATAAAACTAATTTACGGATCCGAAATTGCCTGTGAAAAGCGAGCAAAAGCCGCCGACGTCGCCGTCGCCGTAGGATGCCCCAAAAAAAAAGTCAAAATCCGCTGCAACAAGGCAACGTAGCCTAAGAGTTGTTGTAGTTCAAGGTTATGCTTAGCAACTACATTTGCCAGCCACTCAAAAGTCGACAGCATTTTGAGTTTAAAGAGTCTCGAAAGAGCCAGCTTCAACCAGGCGCAATAATGTACTTCGCAGGCTGCCCGAGAGAGCAACTTAAAGGGCAGAGGCAATTCAATAAAGGCCAACAAAGCAAATGACTAAGCTGATGTCCACTCGAAAGCTATATATATATATATATATATGTGGTGGGGGCAGGGCAGAAGATCACTTGAGAATGGGTTAAGTCCACACGGAAGCACAAAACATGTCCAGCCATTTCACGCAGCAACTATAAGCTGCTCCAGAAAAATGGAACAACTTGCTGACAAGCACACACACACACACATTCACACATGGAGAGCAGCACATCGAAGAATAGCTGGCAAGCATGGCATTCTATAGAGCTCTCTCGCCCTCTCCTAACCAGCTGCTGTCCTCTTGGCCTGACCAACCGCACGTATGACAAAACAATTTGGGAAGCTTATTTATTTTTTGGGTTCTTTTTTTCCGGCTCGCTCTTTGGCTGGCATCCAACAAAAATATTTGCAACAAAATGTTACAAGGCCAAAAACTGCAGCAAATATTGCAAATGCTAAAGGACAACATGATGTTAAAGTTTAAGCAAATACATATTCAGTGAGTGCGTGTGTGTCTGTGTGTGTGCTTACTCCCTAAGTATCCTTTTTAGACATTGCAGGCACTGACCGACATTGGCTTGCAATTTTATGCCAAGCTGATTTTGCAGCTAACTTGCACCACATGCGAGCCGAGCCGAGCCCATCCGAGTCGAGTATTTAAGCAAACTTTATGTATGTGTGTCGCTCTCCCTTTCGCCCCTTCGCTCAGTGTTGTGCACACTTTCTTTACATTTAAATCATTGAATGCTGCCTTAATGCCATTTTATTTCCTTGTGATGCAAAAAAGGCGTC